AGTGTACATGAGCATCTGCTTTCAGCATGCTTTGCGCATGTTTAGATGCCATTTGCAGCCGTATCATCTGTCTGTGTGCTGAGCTATAGAAGTTTATAATGTTTAAGAAAATTGAGTCACCTGCCAACTGTAGATATGATCTGTTATTTGATTTCAGCACGAAAGATCATGGTAACTGTCTTTTGGGACAGGAAAGGGACTTTGTTAGAGGATTTTATGCCAAGAGGCACAACAATCAATTCTGATGCTTATTGTGTGACCTTGAGAAAACTCCACCGTGCCATACAAGACAAGCAGCGTGGCCTAATGTCTTCCCGGCAACAGGCGGCAAATTTATTTGAAGTCAAAATTTAAAAAATTTTTGAACGGTATGACAAATGTTTGAACAAAAATGAAAATTATGTAGAAAAGTAGATAAAGATATGTAGAATATGGGAAAAAATATATTTTAACGATATTTACAGTATTTTTCTTCTTATCAAAAAACAGACCGTATTTAAAAAATACCCTTCGTAGAAAAGAACAAAACAGAATAGGTATTTAGAGTTTAAACAACATTGAACAGAGAATCAAAAAACATATTGAAATGATATAAATCTTATTAGGGTCAAGATAAAATTCTTTGTTTACACAGTTACAAAGTCACATTTTGAAGTTTATACAAATATGGATCCAATTTAACGAAATTACAGTAATAGTAATGGTTAGAAATATATGCTAATTTCATAAATTCTGTAATATTTTAAAAGATGCATGTTTTCAAAAACTTATTACATCTTTTAACTTACTTTGAACAATGAATAAAAGTGGTATTAATACAGTATACCAATGGCTAGCAACAGGCACCTGTAGACATCAATCACCCCTTGAATGTGAATTGTGTAGATAATAATAATCGATACATTATACAATTACTGTATTTATTTAATTTATGTTATTTTATGATATGTATATTCCACATAATGAAAATATTTAAATACTAAAGTTTATTCTGATATCAATTAATTCTATTTGACAGGGAATGTGATTTTTGTGTTGGTTCTACAGCATGGCATAAAGAAGATAGAAAATAAGAAAAGCAAGTTTTGATAAAATGCAAATGATATATCCAAAAGTTACATGAACAACAATCTCAAAAATGACATTAAATTTTATTAAATAAAATTTTTCTTTTTGTTTCTAATTAACATTTATATTCAATTATATAAAGTGCAATTGTTTTATTTATCTAAATAAAAGAATCTTAAACAACACACCACACCAGGATATAGTTAACAATGTGTGCACAGAAAAAACAAACAAAAAAAACTAATGCAATTTGATAGTTTGTCAATACTATCAACAATAATCTGTATGGGTTGATCCTGGAAGTGGAACAAATCTAGCCCCTAGGAGGTGCACTTCTTGGACATAAATATTAGAGTGGAGGAGTCTGGTATTTCGTAAACAGAGTTCAATGTCCTCGTACATACCAGTGGGGTTATGTGATCCTTTTCATTACAAAATTGCAGCATACAAGGTATTGGTTATGACAGTTTTTACACATTCTTCTACTCCCCAAGCTCTTGCTGCCAAATCAACATTTATAGAGTGCATAGCCATCGCACATGGTTACCGCAACATTATACATGAGCTGATTGAATGTTATCACTGGACACACTCAGGATTCACTCTCTTAGTTGACTTGATGAGAGATAACCAAACTGAGCACATTTAACAGATCCATATTACCTATAACCAATACTTAAGATCATTGTATGCCAAAATTACCAAGAAATGCCGAGTTCATATCACTTTCAGGAGGTACCTGACTATTTTTGACATGCTATGGGAAGGACTATCTAGCTACATGTAGCAGTCACTAGAAAAGTCAAAATTAATCAATTTAGTTTTTATTTATTCACTATATACTACACATCATGTTTGATAATATTGTATAAATTATGCAGAATAAATGAAAGTGGAACAACGATGTGATGAAAATGGGTGTGAAAACTTAGTCACACAACATTGATGCAATGAAGACAAATTTTTGCCTACTTATACTTCAAGAAAATTACAGAAGAGCATCAAGATTGTAGGACAAGTCTGCAGAATTAATAAGAAACAACAAAGATAAATTCACATTGTATATATTTTGTGTGTGTCTGTAGCATATACATCTAAAAAAACCTAGGAGAATAAAAACAAAAGTACATAACACATTATAAAAGTAATAAGAGTGCCATAAGGAAATTCTTTAGGAATATTTTATGCAATTTATTGAGAAAGAAAACATGTTATTGCATAATTTGTATATTAGCTGATCTTTTCCCATATGAACTATATTTTGAAGGAAAAACAAAGGACAAATCAATTTATTATAATAAACTGTTTCATTTTATATTAATATATTTATACATTAAGCTAGAAGATAAAAACAAAAAGAGAAATTTCTTGAGAAATAGCATTACTCTCTTTATTTTTAATACAACTTTCATTATATTACAATATTTTTCCAGATTTATTATAAATTAATTACACAATATTATTTCATGTGAAATAATTTCATCTGATGGCTATATCAAGAAAATGAAATTAATTTCTGTAAATTATAACAGCTGACATGTCCTTATGCAATATAAGTTACAATGTTTAAACTTCTGCTACTGTTTTAATAATCTTTTCACAATAAAATACAATAAAATTATACTTTTATTTAAAAATAATATAAAATTAACAATATGCTTTATTAGCTGTTTTGTTAAAGATTTTAAAGTCTTTACAGTAAAGTTTTATAACTATTAATATAAAATTAAATTAAATATTTCGGCACAGGTCTAACTTTTAGATTAACTGTTTCTACCAAATACAGTACCAGTAATTATAATTATTTTTTCACAATGTTAGAAAATAATTGGCAATTATATCTTTAAATGTTTCATAGATAAAATAATTTAACCTTAAAACAATTTAAATGCAAATGATCAAATATTAAAGAACAACTCGAAAATTCTTTGCCTGATATTCATAAAATTTTAAATGTAATGAACATCAAGCAAACAATCATCAAGTTTAATCAAACAGAAATGATATGCTTTTACGATAACAGTTTTTATCATTTAAAATTTAATGCTTTCAGGAAGATAAGGATTTTTGAAATTTTTTAAAATCAAGCATAACGAATCATTTTCCTTTTACATAATAAAGAAAAGCATAATTACCTGAAAAACAAGTATATCAATATATAAAACAACTTCAGATTTTTTTTAATACACATAAAATTTTGAATTATTTTACAGTTTGTATTCTTACATATTCCACAATGAAAACAAAAACTCCAAAAAACACTATAATAGATTTAAGGAATCAAATTTATTTTACTCCGAAATAAATATTTTTCAAGACCACAACATATCACCATAATCTGGTTCTTTACAAATCAAATAAGAATGTCGCAAGAGTATTCTAAAGCTATTAAATATTTTTTTAAAAAATGATAATTCAAACGAATATATTCTAAAGTAAAAAGCTTGACTCCTTGATTCTATTATAGTATTTTTTGGATTTTTGTGTTAAATTTTTGCTTCCTCAATTGATATTATTCCAAGAAACAAAACAAAAATCAAAAAATAGCATTATATAAACATGCTTAAAATTTACGAATCATCGTTTATAATTTTTATTTACATAAAGTAGCAATTTTCATAACAGAATACAAAATAAAAACAAAAATAATATAAAGATCAAGATGAATAACTAAGAAATTCAAAAACTATATATATATATATACTTTTTAAATTTTTGCCTCATTTTAATTTTATAAATGATTATTCAAAGTTGATCTTTATATNCATGCTTAAAATTTACGAATCATCGTTTATAATTTTTATTTACATAAAGTAGCAATTTTCATAACAGAATACAAAATAAAAACAAAAATAATATAAAGATCAAGATGAATAACTAAGAAATTCAAAAACTATATATATATACTTTTTAAATTTTTGCCTCATTTTAATTTTATAAATGATTATTCAAAGTTGATCTTTATATTATTTTTGTTTTTATTTTGTACTCCGTTATAAAAACTGTTACCTATATGACCTTATTTATCTGTAGATGTGGGAAACTACAGCTGACGAAGTAAAAAACAATACATACGGTATTCGAGAGTACTACGATTTTCCTGTTCATAGAGCTTTTTATATGGTAAGCACTCAAAAATTCTGTTTTGGAAATGTCTGTATGTCTTGTTTGTAAATAAAATTAAGAGATGAGTCAGTGTAATGCTTAGAAATAATTACATATATATATAATCAGAAAAAGGTAAAATTGCACTTGCACTTAGGTAGCCCCTATGGCGTGAAGGTCAGTTTTTAACACGTATCAGTCTACTGCCTATTCTACATGCTTCGCGTGTAGACACACGCCTCGGTGCTGGCTATCACTTGCACCTCGGCACCAGGGTGGGGTGAGCCCCACACCACCTAAAACTATATATCAAGTACTCCACGAACAGTCAAGCGGGCTACTCAAAGCCGGCATAGTCACGCAAGCTAAATAATTAAAATGCCATAATCTTGGAAGTACTGCCATTGAGGCTACCTAGATGCACTTCTATCCAGAAAAACAATGCCAAATTCGTGCTTATGTAATCAGATTTTTGATAATTTCATATATTTGTATATGTATTTGGATAAGACCAAATGATTATATACATGTGTGCTTATATATTAGACCCATACCAAACTGTATAAGTGTGTTGATTTACTCATATTTCAAAGCAGCTCCCTCTATTAGCATCTATTAATATAATTTTCACACCTGGGAAAGTCAATGATAAATCATTAAAATGGCAATTGATTCGTAGATCATCCTTCACGAGGAAAAAAATAATAAAAAAATATCGTTAATAAATAACGAAGTACGAGCAACAATTCGCGTAAAATAATCATAATTTTACTTAAATTTAAATTGATACGATTTAGGCCTAATTCTTAATTAAAAAGCATACGTACTCCTTCACGACAAAAAAAGGATCTTCGAGTGTCATGACGAACACCTGCTATTTACATCGGAGATTACTTTAAAACTGTAAATATTGTTTATTAATTGAGCACCGACCATAAACATGAATCACGAAAGTCACAGCTTAACACGAAATTGTTTTCAAGTACGGCATCCAACCTGTAGTCCGACCAAGTCTATCGACCAATGGCGTATCGCCTGTAGCGACTACTGCGGAGTAGCTGTTGAATAAATATAAAATTATATAAAAATTCCAATCGAAAATTAATATAAGAAATGAAAATTATTATTATAATTTTAAATTCTGATAATAATTTTATTTATATAATCGAAAATTTTTAATTTTGTGAGTTCCAGTTTACGTCTGCTATTAATTGTTTGTTATGAAATCACTTTTTTTTGTTTTCTTTTTTTTTAAAATAATTTACTGATATATTTTTCCTGTATCTAAAATGTCTCTAATAATTATTATTTAAATTATTTTTATGATTATACATTTTTATTTTTCAATATTTGTGTGAGCAATATTACGACGCTGTTGATATCGATGTAATAATAATAATAATTTATAAAAAAAATGATATTTTTAAAAATCGCATTTAATCAATAAATAAATTTTATGATTTATAGAACTTTAATATTACAAATAAAAGTTTACAGATAAATATTTCGAAATATTTTTATTATTATTTTTTTACTTTATTTTCAGTTCGCCTGTTTACGCAAGTTTACCTATGACGTCTATGGAATAATTTGAACGTCACGTATGTATTATTCGCTGATTGGTCGAAAGACTATTTAAAATTTAAAATTTCTTTTTAGTAGGTTACACGTTGTATTGTACATAATTTTCATTGTAAAAATGCTAAATATTCATAAATTTATCAGTAAAAACGTTATCATACGAAACATTTACAGATGGATGACGAAAGTATAATTTCTATTAAGTANTTATTATTTTTTTTTTACTTTATTTTCAGTTCGCCTGTTTACGCAAGTTTACCTATGACGTCTATGGAATAATTTGAACGTCACGTATGTATTATTCGCTGATTGGTCGAAAGACTATTTAAAATTTAAAATTTCTTTTTAGTAGGTTACACGTTGTATTGTACATAATTTTCATTGTAAAAATGCTAAATATTCATAAATTTATCAGTAAAAACGTTATCATACGAAACATTTACAGATGGATGACGAAAGTATAATTTCTATTAAGTAAAAATAAAGTTACGTAATAAATAAATGTCTTAATTTATTATAAATTGGCATTCATTGATTGAGTTTAAGTTAGGTTTTTATGTATGTAATTTTATACCCTTCATGGAATAAGTTTTAATGTTAAAAGACGCTTATTAATAACTGAAATCATTAAATATTGATTATAATTACCTGTACATTTATAAGAGAAATTTAAAACTTGATCTTCAAGTATAAAATATACCTGAAGGCATTTATATCTATTGGAATTCTATTCGATTTAAATGTAATCATCTTTTTTCCTTGTTATTTTAAATGGATTCTAGCGTGATTTTTCACGCGTTAATAATTTTATTATATAAAATTGCAAATTTGATTAAGTTTAATGGTAATTTTATTCATTTAATTAAATGCTTACAGTAAAAAAATACCGGTTAATCAAAATCAATTAACATTTTTTTTTATAAATTGAAAGGGGGGAATATAAAGTTATATTATAGAACAGAAAAACTTTTATAGTAAAGAAAAAAGTTTAAAAAAACACTTATAAATAGGAAAAATTGGTTTTAAAAACATTACAAGTGATTTAATTATAAAATAAACTTGTATTATTATTATTATTTTAAGTGATTGTAGGTGAGAAAAGTTGTTTTCCTCATTAGAACCATTTAAACTGACAATAACAAAATTTACCATTGCTATACTTTATCATTACTAAGATTTTTTTTTTACTTCAGAAAATTAATTATAATTAAGTGAACTTCATTTAAAATAACAGCAACGTATGCAATTTACTATTACTGTGGTTAATAATAATGGTTTATTACTCTATAGTTTACTGTTTTCGTCACTTGAATTGGCTATTTTATCATTATATTAGTTAATATGATTGTAATTATTAGTTTCTTCTTTAAAATGGTAAATTATATCAGCATATCTGGAAATATTATTATTGAATAATGATAATGTCTTTTTCTAAAAATATATTATGAAATTTAAGCATTTTGATTGATTTACTTTTATTTTAGAGATGAGAATATCAGTCAAAGAGTAGAAAGAATTTTCTTTTTCTTTTTTTAATAGGTCATTTGAACAATTCTAAAAGTAGAAAAGTCATTGTTAAAAAATATTATAACTTTAAAATATTATTTATGAAAATTATAATGATGTTACACATTTTAAAAATAGTCTAACACGTATTTTCCCTTCCCTGTTACAGCTAAGTTTATAAAAGTCAAGCTGAGCGTNAAATATGCATTTAATAGTAACAAAAAATAAATTGCAGAATAAATATCTGTGGAATTTATACAGTTATAAAAACTTCAAATAGACTATGATACTGTTAACATTTTTCTCTATTTATCTATGAAAAAGAACATTGACCTAATCAAATATCATCTTTCTGTAGGAATATTTGGATATAACGACGTTTCTGGGATTATTTGACCCTCTTTATTGATTGGTCAAAGTCTTTGGACTTTGTTTCTTAACGTCTGTTATCGTTATATCAAATAAATTTTTATAAATCGAATGTATTGTATATAGAATCTGTAGGCTTGAAACAATTCCGTTTATAGTAATAATTTACTAACAGTCTAAAATGACAAAAATCAATGTGATGTGCCATTATATGAGAATATTTGTATATCGATTGCAGTAATGTTATCGATCAGTACGTACATTTTGTTGAATTGAGCATTTATTTTATTACATTATCGCACGAACTGTAATAAATTTATAAATAATTATTGTAAAGCTTTACCAAATAAAATATATATAAATTTTTGTTTAAAAGTATATTTTCTCCTTAGATTAGCAGGGTAAATAAATATAAATTTTAAAGTAATTTACATAAAATTAAAGGTTTTACTCTCTAGTTGTGTTAGAAAAGATATAATGCTCTTATTTACATATAATCGGTATTTTTATTTATTTATTACTCTGCTCTGTGGGCACTAAGAAGGCTTTTTCTATGGTCATAGGTTCGGCAGGCCCACAATAGAGCGGACAAGTAGTGATGGAAAGGATCCGGCATATCGAAAAATCTAATCTTTGGACTATAGAAACCTAATCTTTTAGGTCAGGGGCATATCCACGGGGGTGCTTACGGTGCCTGAGCATTCCCTTGAAATCAAAGCAATCGGTTTTGTTACTTTAAAAATAAATATAGTAACGTGACTTCAATGGCAGAAAGTAATCTTTAAAAAGAGAAAAATTTAAACTGATATTTCTCGAAAATACATGTCGAAAAGTGTGGAGCACAGACTAAAGATACTCGTAATTAATTACAGTACATATAAATTTAAAATAATTATAATTTCGTTAATTTTCGGTGAAAATAAGAAATGTGATAATTTTATATCTTTTCTATTTTCGTTTTTGGAATCACACCCAGTACAAAAATCATATTGTAATTTTTGTATAATTTATAATCAGTCTATCAATTCAAAATTATCAGTTATTCATTTCTCATCTTTCATTTAACAATTTTAAAAAGCTAATGAAAAAAAAATTATTTAAAAAGTTGGGTAATTAAGATAATTCTAAGGTAACTGAGTAACATTCGCCAAAAAACGACAGGGGGTGTGCCCTATATCTGCCTTGAGCAGTATCCATATTCTCAAAATTCTGGACATGTCACTGTTTTAGGGACGACCGCAGGATGGCCGAGCGGTTAAGGTGTCAGCCTACCACTCTGGGAGCCCCGGACCCGGGAATAGCTCCGAATGGGTTGAAAATCCCAGAATTTTTCGAGTTGTGGTCCGTTTCGGATAGATCGGGCCCCTTCCCTCTCCAATCAACTGATTATAGGTCAGGATGAAACCACTATGTGCTTGATTAAAAGGCCTTCTTAGTGCCCAGAAGAATGGGAAAGTAGATTTAATTTTAGGTTCAGAGAAACTGGAATGAATAAATTCCCGAAGATTCCATCCGGATTCGAATCCAGATAATCACAACTGCAATGGATACCCTAATCTCTTTGTCTATCAAGCTAGCTATCGTAACTAGAGTAGAGCAGAACAATGGTTCTTAACCTTGGGTACACTCATTTCCAGGAGTACGATACTTTGTATCACAACTGTTTAAAAAATATGCATTTAATAGTAACAAAAAATAAATTGCAGAACTTATAATGAAACAATTCTTTTAAAAAAAAATGTCATTATTAACTTTGTCACTTCCCTAAAACCCATTATTAATTTTAAGGCCTATGTCTATTTGAGTTTTACTCCAGTGTAATTTTGGCAGTTTTAATAATTTAAGATAGATATAAAGGTGAATTTAATGGGGCGATCTCATCTCGTTTAAATAGGAATCTTAAAGATTCATTGGAGTACAAGAACACAGTTTAAGAATTCAAAGATTGAGGGCAACTGAAAAGTTTAAGAACCAATGATATAGAGGAATATACAATCTATTTTACTATATTAGCTTTTTAAATTTGATATTAGCTTATTTTTATTGGTAGCTCTCTCTTATGTAACAGCTTGGATGGTATGCAGTTTAAATTCAAACAAGCAATACTTAAAAAGTATAAATTATTTTTTTTAAGTCATTGACAAAACATATTAAGCACTAAGAAGGAGAGGTTGTGATCGAAATCTTATTAATGTAAATGTAATGATAAAGAGTAATTATTTAATGTGACATCGTCACAATGCCGGACTGAGCATATATTTAAAGTATGTGCTTTCCACCTCAAATTAGTAGTGGCTTGCCCCTGTACATCATGTTTTTCCTTTAACAATAGAGTCAATAGATCATCTGTCTAACTGATTTCAGGGGAAAGTTTTGAATTGGAATAACATGACTTCTGGTTTGCATCGGAAGTTAATCGGGGCCTCCTGCTCTTAAGGTCTATATCTGGTTTCGAATTTCGTCTGTCTAACTCCGTTCTCGAGATTAAAGAAAGACAGTGGACTGACGACGGAAATTTATAAGTCTATAATTTTTTTCAAATTGCAGCTCAATAACAATACTTGATTACTACATAATAGCAAATGGACAATTTCCTGAGGAACAACAGTGCAATTTAAAGAAACCTATAGTACCTTGCAGGACATCCTCTTGCCTGACTACATACAGTGATACGATTAGGTATGGAGGCATACAAACACTGCGATAGATTTCCCTACAGATATTGCAATTGATGCTCGAGATCCTTCCCACTCGTAGATGGCGTGGCCGAGTCCATCTGATTCCAGAAATGCTCGATGGGAGACAAATCTGGAGACCAAGTAAGCCAAGGAAGTGTGGCAACATGATGGAAAACCTTAGCTGTGTGCGGTCGAGAGTTATTTTGCTGAAAAATGGTTGTTTGCATCTCTGCCACGAAAGACAACTCACGAGGATGAAGGATTTCCTAAGTGTACCGCTGTGCAGTCAATGTCCCGCGAGTCACTACAAAAGATCACTGACTGTTATACAAGATGGCTATCTAGACCAGCACAAGCCAACAGTGGGAAACAGTGTGTCCTTCAACAGTAAAGGCTAAATTGAAATGTTCACCAGTAGTACTCCATACTAACACGATGGTCGTCCGAACAGAACCGAGATTCATCGCCAAAGATGATACTCTGTCAGTTCGCAGCATGTCACAGCACCACTGAAAATGAAGCTGGTAAAGTTTGCGGTACTAATGGCAGATGCGTAGCGGTTAGTGTACATGAAAATTTGCCTGTGCTAGTCGCCTGCTAATCGGAAATGGACAGAGTTCTGTAGCAAGGTTTTCACCTGTCTCTAGATAGTGGAGAAAGACGTCGTTGTAGCTATCCATGTTTGTCTCACTATCAAAAGATCATTTTTCTTAGTGATCTATCTGGGCGTCCAGAGCCTGTCTGCTGTGTATGTACGCATCTCCTTTCTTATCCCCTGCCTCCAAAACCTCGTCATACTCAAGTTAGAATGGTCCACATAACCGGCAATTCAATAAGCTGGCTTTCTATCTTCTCTTCTTTCGCTCAATGATGCGACTTTTCTCAAACTCTATTTTTCATTGCATCGTACAGACATGCCTGGTGTTTGAAGACCTCTAAACCAGTGCTTCTCAAACTTTCTGTATTCACCTACCAGTGTTTTTTACTGCAATTCCACGCGGAATTGATATTTTTGTGAAATTTCACGAAGATTGTCCAATCAATAATTGATTTTCTTCCAGGTACTGTTTCAACAAGACGGAGCATCTCCTCACTGGGCAGTTTCCTTATGTAATTTGCTTGACACAGCGTTTCCTGGATGATGCACCTCTTAGATCATCTGACACAACCTCACTGGATTTATTTCTGTAGGGTTATGTGAAAGACATTTTGCACTGAAAACCTGTTCGTAATATTGTTGTATTGAAAGATAATGGGATAGCGATCTTAGCACTTTGGCGGCATTACCTGGCATACAATAGGATCAAAACTGTAATTATTTTCATACCTGTCTGAGACAGTTGTAGGCAACAGTAGATTTAGGGATGCGCAAGATGCAGCTGCACCCCTTCTGTGGAATTTTCCCGAGCAAAGTCAGGTATCTCAGTTAGTAAAAAATTTTACAAGGTATATTATTACTTTGTTACATCTCCCTCTAAAGATTTCTGAACCTGCCATTGGTTGTATGCCATTTTGCAGTAATCAGACAATTCAACATATAATTCTTAAAAAATATAATGTTTGCATTCTCCAATAGAATGTTATTGTATATAAATTAAATCCATGTAAATATAGAATGGTTCAAAAGTCAGTTAATCAAGTTACACTTTAATAACAGGTAAAATATAACTCGGTCAAAACTTAAAGTATATCTTGAGTAACTGATTTTTAGACCAACCTGTATATGAAATATAAGCATGGGTATAATTATATTCATGTGTAACATTAATAACATAAAAATTTACATTTTAAATTCAACATAAACCAGATTATAAAATTAAAATAAAAGTGCGCTTTATTCAATGATAAATACATTTTTATAAATATTTATTGTTGTGTTTTCATGCTTAAAATTTACGAATCATCGTTTATAATTTTTATTTACATAAAGTAGCAATTTTCATAACAGAATACAAAATAAAAACAAAAATAATATAAAGATCAAGATGAATAACTAAGAAATTCAAAAACTATATATATATACTTTTTAAATTTTTGCCTCATTTTAATTTTATAAATGATTATTCAAAGTTGATCTTTATATTATTTTTGTTTTTATTTTGTACTCCGTTATAAAAACTGTTACCTATATGACCTTATTTATCTGTAGATGTGGGAAACTACAGCTGACGAAGTAAAAAACAATACATACGGTATTCGAGAGTACTACGATTTTCCTGTTCATAGAGCTTTTTATATGGTAAGCACTCAAAAATTCTGTTTTGGAAATGTCTGTATGTCTTGTTTGTAAATAAAATTAAGAGATGAGTCAGTGTAATGCTTAGAAATAATTACATATATATATAATCAGAAAAAGGTAAAATTGCACTTGCACTTAGGTAGCCCCTATGGAAATAATTAAAGAAAATTCTGTGCAATTAAAATATTTTAAAAGATTCCCAAGTGTCCTTTTCCTAATCCAATACCTTTTCCTAAACCGATACCTTTTCCTAATCCAATGCTTTTATCTAATCCAACACCTTTAGTTATTGCAAAGAAGGGTTTAATTCTGACATAACCACTAACGGATGGTTTGAGTTTCTTAAAAATTGAAAGGAAAGGGTGTGGAAAATGAATAGTAATTCCTTTGGGATGTGCAGTCAATAGTAAGCCTTTTCTGGATGATATGTCGCAGTCGGAGAAATAATCATTAGTGTCTGCTTCACATTTTGCTTTATTGGACATCCTTTTAATAAAAAATAAATAAAAAAATGGCATAACGAATTAATAATTAATTTATAATACACTTACGAAGGTAAAAATGTATTAAGTTTTAATTAATTCATCTGTTTAAACATTAAAATGAAATTAATTAAGTCTAAAGTTAAAAATAATTAGAATAGAAAATTTAATATCATGTTGTAAGGGTAAAATTTAAACACTTCGATTGTTTTTCCTAGAAACAATTAGGGGAAAAAGTCCTACAACGTGTGATGTGGGATAAGTAGAGTAGCAAATGAACGTTTCATCACACATTTAATTGTAAATAGACTCATGAGCTATGTCTTACAATATGAAACTTTCGTAAGAACGCATTCTCGTGTTGTTGTTCTTTCGCTATAAACTGGCTCCAATGCAACGAAGGCTCACGATCTCATTTGTAAAGCGTTTGTTAAAACATTCGTGGTCAACAAACAAAGGTCAACCAGATGTTGCAAAATGTCAAAGGGCTGACAGTGCGGAAGAAGGCGATGATCTACGTTTGTTTGGCGTCATCACGATGAAGCTTCTTCCAAGCAACATCACTGTCACGAAAGAATTCTATCGTGAACAACTAAATCGTTTGAACACCGAGATCAAAGAACAGTCACCTTACGGCCCAAACTTGGTGCCAATTGACTAGCATCTATTTCGTGTCTTGCAGAACCATATTGCCAGTATGCAGTTCAATGACAATACTTTCTTCGAGACTTTCTTCAAAGAAAACTCCCAGTTATTCTATGTTCGTGGGATTGAAATTTTGTAGCAAATATGCACAGATGTAATTGATGCTGATAGTGATTACATACATGACTTTAATCGTTGTTGAGTTAATTGTCAATAAAAAAAATGTGTAAATTTTACCTTTACAACCTTGTATAATAAGATAAATATAAGATAGAAAATTCAGAAATAAAATATAAACCTACAAAACGTGATACATAATGTTGATAAATATCAAAGCATGTGATTTAGCAAATCGCTTCCTTATTTATGGGTAAAGAATATTTAACATTTTTATGCAGCCAGTAGCAATTTTTTGTACAATAGATCCTTTAGTAACAGTGAATATTTATTTTATTCATACATTTTTACAGTTTTTAGAGAGAAAAGTAGGATGAAAATTATTTTTTGCCTTCAGTTTTTCCTTTGAGGGACCAGAACCATTTAAAATATAACTGTAGGACTTAAACCCCTTATAGTTGACTAATCATTTCACTACCTACAGACCATTTTTACAGAAAAATTTGTAGTAAAAATGTTTATTTTAATACACAATTTCACTTACTTTAGATAAAAAGCTTGCATAAAAATAATATTACCTCATCAATTATATAACAGATTATCTCAAAACCTTATAGAAAAACTTCAGTAACGCTATTGTTTAAAAAACAATAGGTTATATTTATGTATATTTTTCACTTTCGATTGTCTTTAATAAAAAGAAATTATATTAAATATTGAATCGACGTCAATCAACACGTGCACTACACGTGACAAAATTCTTTGGTCCTGTTTCATTTGGCGGATATGGTTAAAATATATTTATTATATTAAATATGTAAAGATAATGTGACGTCATTTTAAAAATTACAGTTTTATATTGACGAGCTATTCTTAGAATTTTTACAGTATATAAACTTCCTCAATTAGATTTATGTTTGAATATAAATACATTATTTTTTCTTTCTAAATTTATGTACAATAATGTAAGGGTAATAAAATAAGACCTTTTAACTGGGTTAACTGAAAGACACCACTTCCAATGATTGACTAAATCATGAATAATAACATGCAGTTGAGTTTTTAATTATTCCTAAAATACCCTTACAAATATATACTGGTTAAGTGACTTTTGGATCACCCTGTATACATAATATATGAAATTCTTTATCGTTTTAATTTAATATGTTTATATATATTTCCTAATTAAACAATTATAATCTGTCAAGTTCAGCTTTAAATATATTTTATTTTATAATTAATTAATTATTTAACATACCATCCGTTAAATCCAAACCTTCTATAAATAGAAAGAGCACACTGTATATCGTCTGCAATGTCATCATCTTCCAAAGCTGTAATTAAAATATTGATACAATTATTAACAATTCTACTAATTGGTATATTCTTCTTTATTTTTTTAATATTTAATATATAAATATATGATAATATAAAAATATACAGTAGATATTATTATTTCCATATACCATCACAAGTCATATTGCAGCCATTGGTACTATATCTTCCATTAGAAGGTTGACACCAATATTTATCAGAAACCTGAAAAATAATAGAAAAATGTTTTTATAAAAATAAACTTGTACAATGAAAACTTTTCTTATTAATCGAATATTCAACTTTAACACAAAAACTGTTCCATTGTGTGAAAATATTCATAATGTCTTTTCAGTGTTAAAAATGTTTTTGAGATTCTTAAGTAAGAAAATGTAAAAATTGTTCTGCTTTACTCAATATTTGACTTATAAAAATAATACAAAAGTAAGTTTTGAGGGGCAAGAACCTAAGAAAAATGGTAGGTGGATAATTCTATGAATTGGTGGTAACGAAAATTAGAACACCTCCAGAAATATTTCTTTATTCAGAATTAGTCTGCTTGAAATATAAAAGCTTGGATATTCCCCATGACAGTAAAAGAATCCTCGAAGGTTGTCGCTCCTGAGGAATTATTCAAAATCAGAGTTACAATTCTATTATCTTTAATCGAATCAAATTCCATATATTCTTTATGAAAATTCCTATAAATTTTTTAAGGACTTATTCTACATCCAATACCTATAAATGTTTTGTCAGAGAGTATAAAAAGCAGTATAAATCCTCAGCCAAATTCTTAAGAAAGGAATGTTTAACTATCTCGAACGGAAGAGGAAAATAATTCAGATGATTTAACGTTAAATTAATTTCATAATAACAGATGAGTTGAAAAATTTTCAAAAATTCCTTTTACATGTACGTAAATTAATGACGTCAAGGACATCATTGATTTACGTATTAAAACAAGTTTCAAAGATTTGAAGATTTTTTTTCCATTCGAATATAAACTTATTAACAGGTATTTTTATTGAATTACCTATTACTAATATAAATTGACATCAGGATGGGATAAAAAAAAAGGATATCCAAGAGTTCAGTTCGTTACGCCATTGTCAATTATTCAAGCGTAAATTTTTCCATTTTTAGAATTTCCTTTATTCTACGACTTTTATATATTTAAATATATGTCTGTAATGTATGTTTTTCGTTTGTTTTTCTTAAATTATTTTTATAGATTTAACCGGAAGATACGGAACAAGAATTTTTTTAATGTTAAATCAATTTTCAATATTAGAATGTTATAGTTATTTCAAGCCTGTTTTTCGAAGATTTAAATAAAGAAGTTTATATCAAATTTGGATTTATTCTCTGTATATAAGCGTAATAATTAGTAGATTGTGTTAACAATACACAGAGTAGGCCATTATGTATTTCTGTGTTGATGAATTAAGTTTATAACGTGTTTTTCTTTCATAAAATTAATGGAATCGTGATATAAAAAAAACGATGAAAGTATCTGAATAAGACGGCAATTTAATCTTTACAATGGTTAACTGACTTTTAGGCCACCCATTATATACATAATAGTAAATAAGGATCATTTCAAAATTAGAAATTATTTTATTCTGTGAATTATACGAAATATTCGGTGTAATAAGATATATTAACGCATAAATTCTTTCGATATTTTAGAGTATGAAACGATTTATTTATTTTATTTTTTTAATATTAAAGATCCAGTTTGATTTTTTCTCTTAATTTGATTAAAATCATTTCCTTCTCGTTTCAAAAACTCAGTTTATTTTATCAAGTGTCCTCGATTTTTAGTACTTAAGTTCAGTAATTCTCCTTTCAGTCTTCTCGATTTGGTGATAAATTAGGTCGACACTGTTAATTTTATGAACTATTAAGATTTAACGATTCATATTATATTCTTTGGAAATAAAATTCAAGGTCATTTTTCGTATTATTTTAAAACGTACTTGGCATAGGCATATGTAGCCTTGACAGAGGCTACTTGTAACTTGAAAATAAATAGATTTCAATTAACAATTACTTAATGTACATTGGAATCAATAATTGTTTTTTTTTTTTTTTT